CAGGTCTCCACAGCAATGGGCTCTGCCAAGTGTAATGGCAGGATTAAGGTATTTGTGCTTCTTTAGGAGAGGTTCTTTATTGTTTGGTGTTTTAAAAACTTGCAGGTTTTTAATTAATTATTTTTCTTTTTTTTTTTCAGATCTCCCACAGCAGATACATGATCACAACCCTGACACTATTGACGGAGTGTGCTCTGCTAAAAATCCCTGTCTAGAAAAGGAAAACCTGACAGGAGCATAATGCCTGCAAAGTGACTGAAAATAGAGCTTTTTGTAAAAGCATTTTAACCATGACATTGTTTAAATAAATTTTTTCACAAACCTGTAATTCAGACTTTGGCTTTACACTAATTGGCCTCTTTTATGCGTCTTAATTCTACTGTCATCAGCCAGTCACATCATAGCATGATGTATACACATAAGCATTTATTAGGGGCACTGGTGGCTTAGTGGTTAAGGAAGCGGACTTGGGTCTGGAAGGCTTCAGGTTTAAGCTGCCAAGTTACCACTGAAGTGCTCTGAGTATGACACCGTCCACACACACTGCTCCCACACTTGCCCACTGTTCACTCTGGTGATGGGTTAAAAGCAGAGGTCACATTTTGTTGTGTGCAGTTGTGTGCTGTGTCACAATGACAAGTAGTTCACTTTTCCTTCCTTCCTACATGGGTGCGATAATTTAAGGACTGTCAGACTGCTAAGGTTAAGGTATGAAAATGTAGATCTCATTGGATTTTCAAGCACAGTGTCCTAGTTAGAGAGGAAATATCTGATCAGTGGCACTTGTTTATTACTGAAGTCAAAGACACGTAAAGCAACAGTGGACTGAGTCAAGTGTGACTCTTGTCACCTTAGAATCAAGAGACTAAAGTTCAAAAAGGTGCTGTGTGTCTCAATGTATTCCTCACAGGTTTTAAAGCTGTAGATCACATGCAACTGTGATGCTCTCATCTCGGTATGGACCAACTCTGAGGAATGTATCCAGCATCTTGTTGAGTTGATAGAAAAAGAAGGCAGTTCTTGGGTCTAAAAAGGTAATGTGTATTCACCCATCACAATTCATTCTTTACATACACACATTTATGCCTACCTCATCTGAGTGTTCTTGCTTTATCTAGATTCTAATTTAATTAGATTTTATGTGTTTTACAGACTTAAGAGGGCCATTGTCTGAAACTTCCAGAAGACTTGTGGTTGGTGTTTTTCCTGACAGTCGTATGATTTTGATACTTTAAAGCTGTCAGCCCATGCAATATTGAAATACAAGAAACTGGTAAAGAGCGCAGCGAAAGGTGGTGAGTGACATGACTCTCACAAACACAGCCTGAGTTTCACATAAGGACCAAAAACCTTTTTCACAAGAGTTTAAACCTTCACTTTGCACTTGATTTGACAAAGCAAGTCCTTTATTTGTTTTCAAACTTAATATGAGAGCTAACAAGGCCTTGCTTCCCTCTCCTGAGTCTAGAAACCCCCGCTCCCTGCTCAGAAGAAATTTAATTTCTTCTGAGCAGCTTTCTTATTATGCAGCTCTTTTTTCCTGAGCACATTGTTTTTGTGAGAACTGTTACCACAAGGGGACTATAATATATTTTGCCAGCATTGAAAACAATATCAGCCAACTTTATTTGAAAATACACTCTACATAATTCAAACACCCCACATAAAATCACAATACAAAAGTAAAAACAATGGGACAAACAAAACATGTTAGTGAAAAAAGAAACAACTTTATGTGCCACAAACAAAAATACAAACTGTTTGGTCAACTTTAGTATTCTCCTATATTTATGTTTCACATGATGAGGCTAGAAAAAATCAGAAGCAACGCTGTTGTTACTGCAGCACCGGCTTGTGGTGATTCACACAGCAAAACAAAAGTCAGTTTCTGCTTCAGTGAACTAGCGTTTGTTGGCACTCGCTTTGGATGTTGGTGTGAACCTCACAGTAGAGCTATAGATCACACTCTCATTTGCCCGATTTACCTTTAAATTGTGAACTATATTTTTATTATGATGGAAGGAATATCCTCACCAAAAATCATTGGCTTAAAAACATCACTGTGTTGGCCCGTATTTGTATCTTTAAAAATACTCCAAGACAGACTTGCTATATAACTTTTTTGCTAAGTGTGTATTTACAGCTTTAGAACGTGGTCATCTGTATCATTTAAGCATATGACAACATATGCAGCAATTTATTCAGCAGTCTGACAGTGTTATGATAGGACCCCTATCATAACACTCCTTACAGTACAACCCTCTGCAATATGTATTACATTTAATACAACTACAATGTAGCATGCTTAGAGAGATCTACATCAACCCCCTGAAATGTGCGCAGAGGGTCTCAGGAGGTAAACGAATGAGGACAGACATGACATCTTCACAGTAAACGCAGACTGCTGTGTCTGCAGCAGCTTCATGAGGCCAAACCCAGGAAGAAACCACCAACAAATCCACTGGAGAGGACAATGTTCCTCTTTACAAAGTCTGTCGCCTGAGAAGATAAAAAGATGGGCTGAAAACAGAATTACCAACATTTGGATTTAAGTTAAACTCATTTACTTTAAAAACTGCAATGAAAATAGAAATTAAACAGTCATTTTGATTTTTAACAAATGTATGAATCCATCTTTTTTATATGCTGCCCCAGAGTTGCTGAGTGTATTATGGTTTACAATACACTAGGTGGCATTGGTGATTCACGCATAAACAAGTAACTCCAATCATTAGTAGTAGGCCAGCAATGATACTCATTTACTCAAGATGTGTATGCATCAACATTCAATTATTTCAGGCAACAGTCGTTGGAATTATGTAGAAATATTTAAAATGAAAAAGAAAACAAGCTTTACTACTGGTACCTTTACCTCCTCAATTAATGTGTTTATTTCAGGAACTGCTTTGTTGGCTTTTTTCTTGAGGTGCTTCTTTGCTTTATTTACATCTTTCTCCACCTTTTTCCAGTTCACCTGTACATAGCCACTGTGATTGGCAATCTGTAAAAGAACAGTGGCATGATAACCACTCACATCTTACCAAATATCACTATTCAACATACATATTGAGGCTATTTTTAAAGGGATTGTGATATTCTTGCCTGCAAAAGAAGAAACCCCCCACCAACAGCAGTAGCAGCAATCTTCCCAATTCTTTGGAAAAGGTAACCAGCACACCTTAATGTTGAGAAACAAGAAGCAGGTGTTGGTGTGGAAGGATTTCATAATATGATATCAATTTGAGGTGTTTCTTGTACCCTCAGTGTCGACACGTGACCTTTGAGCTTACCATCCAGTCACTCCACCCATTACCAACTGTGTGGTCACAGAATACTTTTCAGCAAGTGGACCTGAATTGCTCCCAAACACCCTACTCCACCATTGGTGTCTTCGGGCATATTCTGTCAGATCCACGACCTCATACAGCTCATCCTCACTCTCTGGATCATCATGACCTGCTATGTATTGTGGATAAAAAGATGGAAAATGTTTCATTTTAGAATGCACCATATCAATTAAACATACTTGACTTGCCATAACTATTGGACAGACTAGTAACGGACATCAGTGCTTATTGTGTTGGAAAGATGTGAGATTGCTAATTAGCCTCTAATGTTGGTAATTATGCAGAAAATGCATTCTTTCAAGTCTTTGATCAAGTGGCCTTTTGAATGTTTCACTTTGATGTCGAGTGCTAAAAAAGTGTTACATATTTCTTAGTTAGACCAGTTCTTGGCCAAAAAAAGGCGTTGATGTTGTAAAAGAATGCCAATTACTACCAAGCCCAAAAATGACAGAAGGACATGACAAGTTAACACATGTCTTAAGAGATCCAACAGATCTACAATCTAGAATTTACTCTCTACTAGAGGTCTAACCACCTCTTTTACTGTGCTTCTGAGTCCCAACTGGACTTAACAAATTGACAGCTTTATTTGTTTTTATATGTTTTGAATGTTTATTTACTGAAGTTCTGAGGTAACTTTAACTGTTCAACATTCTGCCTGATAATATAGGCAATTGTCAACTGTAATTATATTTCTAATTTTAGAATTAAATTCATATCATAAAACACCTAATTTCTGTGATCATGCTTACTTTTAGTAGACAAAATTAATGTCTATTCTGATCCAGTTTCTTTTGGGGAAGTGCTGCTTGTCTGTTAATATAGCCAGTTCTTTTTTAAATATAGTCTCTTAATTAAACAGTGTATGTAACTTTTAAGATGCTACACTGCAATGATATAGTTACATTTCAGCCCATTCTAGATTCTATTACAGTGCACTAAACAAAGCAACTACGCCTTTGCCTTATTGTGTTCCATGTGAGGCTGGCATATAGGTTCCTTAGTACGTCACAAATTAAAATGTTATTTAATGTTATCTGCATATCGAGAGTAGCCCCCATATTTTTCTGGTCTGATTAAATGGGTAAATGTCACTCGGAGCTTCTCACTTAAAATGCCTTTTTTCATACTTTAGGTTAGGTAAACACTACTATCTACGACAGCGTATGTGAAATGTATTTAAGATCACATTAAATGCCCCATATTGACCCTTAAGGGTCAAATTGTTTTTGAATTAACATCTGTAGAACCTACTGGTAGCTAACGTCAGGCGCCTATCAATTCAATAACACGGCCATTACAATTCTGTATAGTTATAACATTAAGACTAGACGCATATATTAAATATACTATCTCGTACGTTCACATTTACCATTATATTAACCAAAAAATATCGTTATTAAGACCCAAAGTGACTAACCCTCCCTTTGATCCACCGTCGCCATTTTGAAGATACTCGTTATGTCACAAGGATGTTGACAATGCTAAGCCGCGCCCACATCTATGATGCTCTGCCACGTCAGTTGAAACAATGCTCTGATTTCGCTTGATTAGCGCAGCAATTTGCAAGTACATCTCTCAATGCAGCAACATTTCCCCCTGAAATGGTCTGAAGTCTTACATTTACGATAATGTTCTGGGAAACAGAAGCTTCAGTGGTGCAAAACACCTGAAATGAATAATGATGCATTGCAGTCATTGTTAAACCTGCGTAAAAAATGGGACCGTACATCCATGTGTTTTACAGTGCCTTAAAAACAAAAAAATACTTTTTTTGAATTTCACCAATTTGAAAGAGAAAACACCAGTTGTGTTTTGTCTGATTCGAATTTACTTATTTTATTTTTTAGAGACAGCAACCTTAAAATAAATACCTTATATATATCTCGAAAAAATGTTTGTTTGTGTGTGTTTTATATGTATATACATATATATATATAAGGAATATACATAATTATGATAATACAACGATATAGCAGGAGAGTCATATGGTGTGATATCGCTGCTCCTATTGGCTCAGGAAGGGTAGAGGGCGTGGCTACGGCGGCGCATGGGTTCGCTTAGGTGACACAATTATAACAACTTTATCTTCGCAGCGGAAACGCGTTTTTATTTGAAATTACTCTCATCTTGGATATTAAACTTAATAAATTCATGAAATTAGCGACGAAAGGTCACTTTTTTGGATGGAAGATGTGACGTTTGAGGAGCCACCCGGAGAGAGCGTTTCAGTCCCCCCCGAAAGGATTTACTACATCGAATCGCATCATTGCATCCTGGGGAAAAAGTTTTTGATCATTTTAATTTGTTTGGTTTCACGTCCTTCAATCGACAGAGTTGACGGTCTGTCTCCGCGTCGCGATTTTCCATGCAATCGTGCGGTGTGTCTCTCGCCGCCGCTGCCTGCGCTGCTGCTCGGAGTCTCGGCTCGGCTTCTTCTGGTGGTGATGAGGGAAAGAAAATGGCGGCGGGAAAAGCGAGTGAAACAGAGGAGGACTTTCCGACACTGACAGCCCAGGAGAGGGACAGTTTGACCGCGATCGACAGGTCAGACGAGCTACCCTGTGCACTCACATTTACGCACCGTTTAAAAATAACTGTTTTGGCTTCTTAGTGTGCCTGAAACGTACAAGAGCCGCCGTGCAAGTGATACTGAGCCGACTGTGCTGTCTTCTTGTTTGCAGCTCACTGTTTGGATTTCAGAAGCTTCATGAAGATGGCGCCAGAACGAAGGCCCTGTTGATGAAGGTAGCAAATCTAACTGCCATATATACCACAAATAAGCAGTTAATTCATGCAGTGAAATTGTGTTGCCCCTCCATTATTGTTCAAGAGCCATGGATTTGTAAAACAAATACCTAGTCAATGTGAACGCAAATGGCCCAGTCGCAAAAGAGACCAAAGCCAGTTAGCCGCAGCCCTTCTTTTAGCATTGTAGCTAGCATGTCGTATAGCTTTTGCTGCTTTTATCCGATGAGACTGCACCTGCAGCTCAGCCACAATAGCTAAGTTGCCGTTAGTCTCTAGGTTTACAGACGATCTTGGGCATTCAACAATATGGGTGTTTGTCAGGTTAACACCCTATCTGTGTCCGATTGCTGTGACCCATGTGTGTGTTCGCAGCTGCAGCACCAACAACACAACGTCGCCACGCTTTGTCTAGGAGACACTGTACTCTTAATGAGAAAAGTTTAATTTCTTTGTGATTTTGCCACATTGCGTGGTCCAACCAACAAAGATACACGCCATTATTTTCGTACCTGTAAGAGGCTGCGACTACATTCGCTCCAATTTAGTGGATGTAACGTTGACGCTGGAGGCGCCTTTTAATACCAACGTTTGTGTTGTTTTATGTGTGTTCGCTAACGCCCACAGACCGGGGTCGTTGGTGGGTGCTTAGCATTGTTAACGTGATAGTGACTTGTCCAATGTGTTACGTTATTGCTAACCCTTTATTCGTTTTGAGTCGACATACTGTATGAAAGAGTTGACAAACGTTACAAGTAACGTTAATGGCTGTCTGCTCGTCCAAGATGGCGGGACACGGCGGGGTGACACCGATAGACGTAACGTTTCGTTATTGTTGATGTTGTATACATTATGTAACATTATCGAAACCTAACGATACAAATAATACCGCATGGTCAAGTTCTCTCTCAGACATATGTGAATTTAGGGTCCTGGAAATATGCTTTTGACTTCAAAAGCAACACATTGCCAAATGTATTGTGCTTTAGCACAAACATTTTACAATAAAATACTGTTCAATATGCATAGGTGCAATATATAGCATTTATGGCAATAATTACGATATTGACCTTTTTTTAATGTTGAATATTTTGGCTGATTTGTCAAAAATAACATGAGGAAATACATGATTTCCTTATGATAGTGTTTCACCATCAGAACATTTAATTTTAAAAGATCCTATTTATCGCATTTAAACATCAAGCAATTGGAAGGGGTTCGTTCTTTACCATAGGGAACCGTTTTTGCCAATGGGTACAGTCTTATAATACAAAGAGGAGTGTTGTAGTTTCCCTGACAGTCACCTGCAACTGTGCACTTTTAAACCTTGATTACCACATGTTCAGTTTCACAAGTTCAATTTAAATTCTCAAATTTGAATTTTAAACGGAAACATGTTTTGTATTTTTCACTGCAACAAATCTATAGTGTGATATGTGCAAACTAGTGTTTATGATAGTTGCATCATGATTATAGTGAAAGTCATGGTTCACTTAAAGAGACCCACTACAAGAGTATTCTTAATTTACTGTTTCCTTTTACAAAGCCTGCTTGCATGCATTACAAAAAAGCCAAAAAACAAAAATTGGGAAACCAATGGCGAAAACCAAAACACCGAAAGAAATTATTTTGGCAATTATTAGCACCACTGCATTTATGGCTTTGACTGTGTACTAACCTCACTAAAATCATGGCATTACAAAGAATAAATAAATTACAAAGCTAATAGAAAATATTTTTTAACACGTTCTAAAAACTTCATGTGATAAAATAACATTCAAAATAAACTAACTTGACTCCACTCATACATTAAATAATAATGTACAGCTTACTGGCCTCCTGAAAGACTGTAAAATTTGTATATGTTCTTTTAAAAACACAAAGTGCATTTAAGGTTAAGTGCAGAAGATCCAAATAGATCTCACTTGAAAATGCCAGTGACCATTCTTCAGCCACAAACTTTCAGTGACCGAATATTTGGTGCATTCTGTGTATGGTATATGAACGCACACACACAGTCCATGTGTATTTAGTACATTTCTGGGGCAACATGGATCAAAGTCACTATGTGTGGACTGAGCTTGATGAAGAGGGAATGGTTCACTTTGACAGGTCAAGGTTTAAAGTTCTGTCATGAATCTGTAACCATGGTGTTGTTGGACATAGAGAAACTTGTCCACCACACTTGGCAGAATATAATCAGTATGCATTGCATCTAATATCTAAACCAATACAGTAATACCTTTAGATACGAGCATAATCCGTTACAGAACCGAGCTCGTAACTCAAGTTTCTCGTACTTCAAATCATTTTATTCCCATAAGAAACAACAGAAAAAACTAAATCTTTGTTCTTCTGGTCCTCTAAAAAATTTCCTTTATTGGTGCTAATAACAATGGGAAAAAAATGGTTTTAATTGCTATAGAGACATACACACACACACAGAATATAGTATATAAGAATTCCTGTGATATACCTCCTTACCTGCGAGACAGACGATACAGCACATGTGCGAGGACGAGGAAGGAGGGAGATAGACACTTGATTTCGTACCGTACTGCACCTTACACGTACACTACGTAACTTACATAAACTTAGAATAATTTAAATTTTTTCTTGCTTTTTTTTATTTGTATTCTTTCATTAGTGGCCACCAAGCTAATATTTATTGACGTATATACATATATTGGCAATTTCATGCTTTATTTCCATAGTCATCATGTGTTTCTTCTTCTCACTACCATCCTTACCACTCACTTTCTTAGGACTCATCACTATTATGAAGAATAATACACAAAATACAGAGAAAATTGCATAGCTAACGCAAACACAATACGGAAGACTCACAGGAGATGTGTACAGATGTTGACAAACACGTGAAGTAAATGAGTGAGGTGGCGTGGGCTGCTCCGAGTGCTGTGCCACCTAGCATCGGCATCTGTAAGTGTGCTCGTATCTCAAATCTTTACTCATCTCAAAGCAGAAATTTGGTCGTATCTTGGAATACTCCTTTCGGTATGCTCGTATCTTAGGGTATTACTGTACTATTGTAATAGTTTCTTGCATTAAAATCATATTGAAATAAATCAATAGAAGTTATGTGTATGTACTCATGTTCAAGGCTGGGTCTGCTGTTGCTTAAATAAATAAATTGGTGTTCCTCTGGATTACTTGCTACGCTTTGCCCTCAACTCAGTACCACAAGCTGAAGAAATATGGTGTAAAACTGTCCCAAATCACAAGGTTAGCAGCCACATTGGTCTGAATTGGTCTTGTAAACAAAATAGCATAATGTAGCCATGAGAAAAAAGACCATGCTAAATCAAATGTCTTGTATGATAAGAATTAATGAAGAAAAATGTCTCTAAAACTCCCCAGGAAGAGCCACATCGTTTGGCTTCATTCCTGCATATTAAGTTTGGGTGACAGTTCTTTCGAGCACACAGACGATCATGTCATTTCATTCTTCTTCTTTGTGCACATGCACCCAGATAACACAGACAAAACTAGGTCACTGTATTGCCACCACCACTAGATTGCAGTGTCACATTTGATTAACTCCCACAAAAAATAAGTACAGTGATCCCTCTCCTATCGCGGTAATTGCGTTCAAACACCTGGAATGGGAAAAATTGTGAAGTAGAGGTGATATAGTTGTTGTATTATTTACCCTTTACGAACC